CATACCAAGTAACACCAAGATTGATAGCAGAGGAGATGTTAGTAAATTGTACATTTTATTCCACAAAATCTGCTGTCTTTATAGTACCAAGTAAACATATCAGACATTAAGGAATCCTTTGTTAATTGTGCTCATGCATGTCACAGTTAATTAACTATAGAAAAGTGTGCTCTTAAGTTGTGGCTGATTTTTTTTTTTTTTTGGTAACAATATATTTTTAGGCTGGTTTTTTTCATATAAATATAGGTAATGCAGAGTTTTGCCAAACCAAGGGTATTAGTTTGATTTTTTTTTTTAAATATCTAAACTACAATTTTGCTTTTTTGTTTAGTTATTGTAACAGGAAAAACATGCTTTAAATATTTTTTTGTGAAACAAGGTTAGACTGGAACATCTGTCAGGTCTAATGGGCTCTAATCCAGAGGATCAGACCAGAGCAGCCTAATCCTCTCTGGGATGACTATACCAGTAAATTATCCTGAAGAAGGCCTTTATTTCTGTAATACGTTTTGCTTTGCAGTGACTGCAGGCCTGACCCTTTTAAGTCTACAGTAAATGCAGAGTAGCTTGCTGCAATAAAAGGAACTCACATTTATTGTAAAGTAAGAATATTCACACTAGTAATCACCATGGAATAGATAATGTATTATAATTTCACATTCTTCCTTTTATTTTTTGTCTAGCTGACCTTTCTGCAGATAGCAGAAGTGGGAGCCTGAAGTGCACTCCATAGAAATATCCCCATGGCTGAGGCATCCAGTGAGCTCTCCAAAGTTATCTGTGTAAAGAGTTCAGCACTCCTGTAGTGTTCTTTCTTTCTCTCTCCCTCCTGTAATGGGAGCACAAAGTCCAGTCTGGTTTGTGACAGCCCCTCTGTGAATAAAGCTGCTTTTAATCCAATTTATCAGATGTTTGCAGTAGCATTTGCATAGACTTAAAGCTTTGGAGTATGGAGAAGATGGATTTAAAGAAATAAAGCTAGCTGATAGATGGGATCACTTATTAGAGATCTTTCATATGAATTATGAAAAATAGCTACAGTGAATTATAGCTGTAGGCTTTCAGATAATAAGCCTTTCAGGAAAAAAATAATGAAACTAAGTGATACTCAGTTCTGAGTTTTATTACAAGGCTGAATCATAATTCAAAGTTCTTTTAAAACTTCCAGGATGGTTTGCAAATCTTGATGAAAATGAAACTAAGCTTGACCATATTTAACCAGTTTAAGTGAGTTTTTGGCTGCTACTTTACTCCAGGAATATTTTTCTCCTGTAAGCTTCCAGCTTATTTCTGTCTGCACTCCATTGCCTGCTGCTCTCAAGGTCCAGGGACTGTAATTTGTTACTGTCAGTTTTTGGGCAGTTATCCCTCATCAATATGGACAGGGCTGGGGAAAGCCTCCTTGCAAAATCGACAGTAACAGCCTGGCAGGCAAAAACCCAACAAGCTCTCTTCTCCTGTTTCCAGTCTCTGCTTGATGACTCAGGTTTTAGCTTTAATATTTTTCAGACCCTGTGCTGCTTTAGTGTGTGGGTCTGAGCTTCATATTAGAGGATGGTGAGCTCTCTGCGAGAGTAGGGGGACAAAACTATTCCTGCTCCAGATGGGCACCAAGGACAAATGATCCAAATCTCAGGCCCAACAGCACAAACAACGTGGACTGAAGAGAGAAAAACAAGCAGGATGGGAGTTCATAATAACCTAAAGCTGTAATTGCACAATGAACTCCAATATGTAAAGGAGCAGAACTTATAAAAGTGAGAGCCCCTGTGATCAGTTGTCCATTTTGTGACCATTTTGGTCCATCTTGGGTGTAGCCCTGGCTGGGCTCTTGTGCTGCCCAGGTGGATCCATTGAGGCCTTTTAATAAATCCCTGCTTTATTCTTTATCTCTGTCTAGTCTCTGATCTAGGCCAGCCTTCACAGGGCATCACACCCATCCTTGAAACCACTTTCCTCACTCCCAGTGACTCTGGACTTTGCTCACTGCCAGCAGCAGGGGCAGTAGCCTCAGTCCCAGCCCAGGGGATCCCACAGTGACAGAGAATCTCCTGAACACCATCCTTTAAGGGTGTTCTTAAGGGGGTTTCTGCGTGTGTGCATGTGAAATACAATAGGCTGAAGTCTTGAGGTTTGTTGTGCTGCTCCTGGAGAAATGGGAAATTTTTCGTTTCTTGAAGTTTAGTAGCTGCATAGGAACATCTGCCAGTTTATTTTGCTGTATAAAATATTATACAGTAACAAAGGATGTGGATGATAAAGGAGTTTAGTGCTATATCATGTTTTAAAACAAAAAAATTCTGAAAGGGAGAGGGTAGAAAACAGAGACTAAGAGTGGATTCGTCCATGGCACTGTGGTGTAGCATGTTCTTGGATCTTTTGGAGACTATGGAAAGAATTAGCAGAGGTGATAAAGAGTAAGGAACTCATGAATAAACTAGAGCTATGTCATTCAGGGGGCACAACATGAGACAAGGTGTGCTAGGGGTACATGTACTTAACAATGACCCAGTCAAAGGGAATAAAAGTGTTGATGACCTTTTCCAACATGCAACAGCTGAACCCAGCAGAATGCAGGTGCAAAGCAAAGGGAGTGATGCTGAGTTAAGAGTCACTTTCTCCAGTTGTACATCAAAATCTTGCACAGGTTCAAAAGGTTGAACCAATAGAGGCATTCATACGTTCCCAAGGTCAAGTACTTCTGGTTCTTGTCATTTGAAAGTCCCTTCTCCATGCATGACTGAGCCCCATTATTGTGTTCCACCCCATCTACTTGTGTTTTAAATTAAATTTAATTTAGATGTGTTGCCATTCTTCACTTACCTTGGAAACTTTGATGTACTATTGTAATGTAAATTTAACCCTGTGCCTAAAAAAACCCCAGCTAAAGGTATTTAGTGATAGAAACCCCAAGATCCTTTGCAGTAAAGTTTTTCATGGAGTTCCAGCGCCCCTGCCTCATTAATATGCATTGGCATGCCAAATGTAATTGCATTCAGGTTAGGTTTTGCTATGAAAATATTGTATTGTTTCAAAAATGGTGCTTTAAGTCAAAGACACCACTAGTGAAGTTACATAACTTTATTCTAGGTATTTCAGAGCATTAGTAAGTCTTACAAAAGCTTGCTTGAGAGTTAATCAACAGCATGGTGTAAGATCTTTATGAAAAAGTATTATTCAATTCACTGTTCTTGACTTAGGATCCATCACACTGATTCTCCTCACATATATGCATATACATATATATACATACATATATATATATATATATATATACACACATATACATATATATATAGTTGATGATATGTAGTATTCCAGAGTTCTGGTAATTGCCCCAAATTCAGATTTTTTCTTTTTCATGCTTTAATTAAATCAAATTAGGTGTCCTCCCTTTAAAAGTAATTCTTGTAGTCTAGAAAGTGTTTCAAGGGAGTGTATCCCCTTAGTGTCTTCATTCTGTTTCCACTGCTTTCCATACACAGTACCCTGGTAATACCTGAAGTGGTTTGAAACCTGTAGATTTTGCTAGCTGATACCAAGAGCTAAGTACAGAGTTTCCAGGTGAAATTTCCATAGTGCATAAATGTATTTTCAAGTGTAAAGTACTGCTCTTTCTTGAAATAAAATGCTAACTCAGTTTGGATTTAAATGGAACAGATTTTGTGAAACATCACTGTAGAAAAGTGTTAGGAATGTGTGAATTTGTCATGTGTCAGCCAGTATTCAAAACACCACTCTGAAGTGACTTGTGCAATTCTATTAATGGACAAAATTTTGGTGAGGGAGTACTTCAGTTTGGGTATGAATCAACAGTGTTTGCTAGCAGTCCAATCATGCTGAATTATAGTTAAAGTGCTACTTTAAATAATAAGTACTTTCTGGATATAGTTTTAATTTTATGACTACTGTTCCTCTCTCTTGAGAATAAACAGCATTGTTATGAAAACATTCTAATCTGATAAACATAAATTTTCCATTTTAAAGTCCTCAAAATATATTGGAAATACATGAGTTGTCAGCTGTGAAATCTGCAACCAAATATGGTCTTTTCCCCCAGATTAGCTCACTTTAGGATGTTCTGATTACAATATCAGAACTTTTATCTCAATTTAAATGAACCAAAGAATTCACAGTGAAGAAACTCTGAGAAACAAATCTGAGGGGTTTGTTTTGTTGAATATTTGACATGTTTGGGATTTTGATCTGAAATTCCATCCCAGACAGACTTGTCAAAAGCAGGAGCCACTGCACTGGGGTTATACATGCTCAGTGTTTAACTGGTGTTACAACTAATCTGACATGACAGACCATTTCCATGCTCTTTCACAACAGGCCACGTTATCACTGGTGTATTTAGGGAATTAAAAAGTCTCACATGCAATTTTCTCATCAATGATAAGCAGAGTTGTGTGTGATGTATTGGCTAATGTATAGTAAACAGAGACCCCTCTGTGTCCTGATATGGAATGACAAACACAAGGGGATGAAGATATTAATTACATCTCAGCTGTGAAAATGTTCCTTGTGTTTTATATGTACAGGCATTTAAGAAGGACCTAGTAGTATATTTTTTTTATTTTTTTTTTTAAAGTAAGCAGACTTTCTTGTAAAAGCCTTGTAACTAAATTATTGCCATTCGTATCTTCATGCTTATTGTGCTTGGGTACATTACTGAGGAGTGAGGCTTGGATCAAAATGAACTTGCAAATAGACTTCACCATGATAAATATTAGTATTTAAATAGAACCCAGGGAAATCCTTCTAGCCTCTGACAGAGCCCTGAAGGGGAGCTGGCAACTGTAGAGCAAACTGAAGTGTGCAACTCTTCATCCTCACAGCAGTCCAGGAAACATGTGCAGTGTAACACAGCAAATACGGGAAGGCTTTTAGTTACAGAGGTGTGTAAATGTTTACAAATATGATTAACTGCAGAGCACAAAATCCATTTGCAGCGTCAAAGGCAAAACTAAAATTACTTTTTCCTGCCCCCCTTCCAGGATTATGCTGAAAAGAAAAACACGATAGCAAAAGCTCTGGAAGATCTTAAAGCCAACTTCTACTGTGAACTCTGTGACAAGCAGTACTATAAACACCAGGAGTTTGACAATCACATTAACTCTTATGATCATGCTCACAAACAGGTAAGAGAAATCTGCTCACTACTTCAGCTTAGTTTCAGATGGAATAATGAAATAAGATGTCCTTCATATGAGCTGGGAAATCACAGTTGAGTTGTCCTCAACTGCAGATTCTGGAAAACAAAATTCACTCTTTTCTTGAGAACAAACCTTTTGGAGATTTTACAGTGAAAAAAATTCTGAGGTGGGAAGAAAGAGAAATTTGAACAGTTTAATATTGAAGAGGAGCAGGGAATGGTGAATAATAATGAATAATATTATTAAAATTGTAAATGTATAATTTCCTTCTTACCAGTTTAATTTTTCACATAAATGCTGTGGTATACTTCAGATGTGACTTACTGGAAAACATTTGTTGCAACAGATGTACATAAAAAACTTGACATACTCTTTGGTAAACTTTTTTTTTAGTGCAGATACATTGTGAAAGGGGCTATGGCTACTTACATTAGTTCAGGCACAGCTCTGAAATGAGCTATGATTTTATTTCAATGCACTGTATTTTAAAAAGTGTGTCAATGAAAGGTTTCTGTTTGTTAACTTTAAAGCATCAGTATTTAGGTTTCTCTCACCCTATTGTAACACTTTACCTCCAAGCTGTGTCTTTGGTGAGATAAAAGCTGTGCTCCCACAGAATGAGAGAGGCAATGCATCCCAGGGCAACATCCTGATCTGCAGAGGGGTTAAATCTATTTAATTCAAAAGCAAGGACAATGCATCTTGACTCCCCTAAAGAGATATGTAATGATAGTGCAAAGATATGTAATAACTGTACAGAAAATTCCTACATAGGCCACTGAGCTGGTAATTATTCTGTACCTTTTCTGGTTTGTTTTTTTTGGGGTTTTTTTTTCCATCTGGTGAAATCATATGGTTATGTATCTGGATTGATTGCTTTTTTTCTAATTGAATCTCCCCTTTTCCTGTTATTCTGCTCAGGGTGAACATAGATAAGCTACTACATGTTTTATATCTGTATTATATAGAATAATGATTGCTTTTCTTTAGCACTACTCCTTGAAACTTTTTTTTCTCTCTCTCACTGGTATTTTTATTTAGCCATAATTTACAATGTTAGTGTGAGTGTAGATTTAGTTTGGAGAGCTGTGAAGATGTGGACCTCAACAGCAACAGCAATCTGTGAGAAGCTGGAGGGAAAGATACATAAATTAGATAAGAAATTAGCAGGTAGCTTCATTGCATCCTGTAGCTGCTTATTATGAGTTTTAGTTAAAAGTACAGCTGGAATTGATTCTACAGGTGTTACATTCACACAACAGCACATCACTGATGGATGGCAGGAAAAGGGCAGTTATGGGCAGAGTTTTCTCCACTTGGCCTCACTTAGGATTTATATTTTTAATTTTTTTAGTGCTGTGAAGCACTTTGAAATAATGAGAACCTGAAGGCTGCAGTCCTTGTTCCTCTATTAATAGTGATGAAAAATTGATTTTGGAGCTGAGGTCAAGTGTGAGACTGAACAGGAACTTTTTTCCAGTGTTTTACATGGTAAATGTGGCTTTGGGCAGGAGAGGGTGGACACTGCACCAGCCTCTGGTGGAGCGTGGCAGATGCTGCCTCTCCATCTTTTCTGCAGGGGGTCTGTGTGTCTGTGTTTGCATGTGGCTCTGTGGCTGTGTTTGGTGAAACACAGGAAAGCCATCCCCTTTCCTCTGTTCAACATTCACAAGTCTAATCTCCCTGCTAGGAAGTGGAAAAAAAAAAAAAAAAAGCACAAAAAATTGTATGGATGCTTGTTTGGCCAAAGTAAAACTTTTCAGTAATGTTACTGGCAAATAAAACTACTGATTCCTGAGATAAAATGTTGAGTTTAATTCTTCTGGAATATGTATTTCGTGGTGGCTTCTATTAGTGCTATGAAGGAAAAACATTCCTCTTCCCATATTTTGGGTGGAAAAGGTGGCAGGCAGCATATGCTGCAGCACAGACTTGCTCTGATTGGCTCTGTTTTCAAGAACTTCACACCAAATTCTTTTTATGGGTAGTTTTAATAAGCTTGTTGAAGAGATGTGGAGGTGCTACTGTTGAATGCTCTGATTTTGTCCTGAGACTGCCTATGTGAATGGCAGAAGTTTTCCAGCAGTTCAGTAGAGGTGAGAGGAACAAATAATCTAATCTCTCTTTAGATTTTGCTTCATATTTTTTATCTTTTTTTTTCTTTTTTTTTTTTTCTTTTTTTTTCCCTTTAATCACACCTTTCTACAATAATGGACAGGTAAGGGAAGTACTTAGTGCAAAGAGTCTCCCATGAGCCAAGGACAGTTGTGCAGCCACTGTGGTCTCAGTGATGCCAGCAGCCAAGAGGGGTTTCTATGTGATCAAATGGATGAAAGCTCTGCCTAAACCTCAGTTCCCCCCAGCTTTTCTGAAAAGCCATATTTAATCCTAATTGTGCAGTCTGTTATCACACCGTCTAAGCCATGGGAGGGCTTGGCAGAGAAAATGTTCCTAAAAGCTCCCGTACCTCAATTCTATTGTAGAAGATTTTCTTTCCATCCAGTCAAATGTTGCTAGCACACAAAATTTACAGGATTTAAATGAGAAGATTTGTTATGTGGGTTTCCTCCATTGGCTGGGAGGCCCTGTGCTGTCAGTGTTGGTTGTGTTTTGATTTGTTATGTCTTAACAGCTTCTGAACACCCACTCAGAGCTAGTATGATATGAGCACCTTCTGAGCAGTCCAGAAAGCAAGCACAGGACTAGGGTAAAGCCAATTTTATTTCCTAGGACCTGAAGAAGTTTAGTGTCTCAAGAGCCCCACTGCCTCTGTTAGTGCTTTCCTGTTCTTAGCTTTTACAGGATTGTTTGGAGAGCATATCTGCAGCCTTTATGAAATACTCCAGGAACAGCAACTTGCAAGCAGTCAGTGGTAATAGAGAAAAATGAACTCTCTGCTTTGCTTTGAAGGCTTAGACAAAGAAAAAACGCCCTCAACAGAATAAAATGGTGGTGTCTTTAAAAGCAGTTCTGAGCTCAGTGCAGAGAGATGAGTAACTGAGGCAGAATTGCTATTATTCAATGTAGTAATGAGGGAATTGCTATTTGATGGTCTAGACCCACAGAGTGTGGGATTTGAGCCCCATACCACGATTTTAAAACATATGTATGAGTCCATGCAGCATCTCCTCCATCCCTGGCAGGAGCTCTGAAGTGCTGGAAACTCCTGCCTGCTCTCCTTGAGACTCTGAGGGTTTGATAAATGCAGCTGAGTGTTAAACTCTGAGGCTCTGAGTGACCTTCCTGTCGTAGCTGCTTGGGCTTGCTCATTGTGCTGTCCTGGGGCACAAATCTGCAGCACACAGCTCAGTCCCCTGTGCCAGCCATTCCTCCAGAGACTTTTGTCACCGCTGGGACAAAGAGGGCTGGAAAGTCTCCATCCCAGAACTTCTGATGAATCACTCAATACCACAGCAGCACACTTCAAGCTTGGTGTTCTTTGCTCTCCCAGGAGGACTCCTGCAAATATCAAACAACAACAATAACAGCAAAAGCTGTGATGAAAAATAAATAGCCCTAATGTGTTTGCATCTACAGATGAAAATACAATCAATTATGTAAATTATAAGCAGGAATTTTCCCCCACAGAACCGTTAGGTCATTTCTCAAACTGTTTGTCTCTGGGTGAAAATGATCTCTGTGCTCTACAAATTTATTTAAAATTGTACGCAGGGAATAATGTACAAATTATGCAGGAAGACTAAATTAGTAGTTGTCCCCTTTCCCAATTCCAGACACAGATTTCTCCTGTCCACATTTTTCTCCTCTCCTTACATCTTTTTCTTTGCACATTTTTTTGACATCAGTGCCAAATAAGCTGGAGATAATCTCTATTCACAATAGAGAATTTCAATCTCTAGTCAGTCAAAAGTCCAAACTTGAATAATTTTCATGTGTTTTAATAAATATTTTGTGGAATATGGGTGAGAACAAGAAGTTTGGAATAAAGGTGTGATTAGACATAACAATAATATAACCCCATTCTTTTACTAAATCTGTACCTCCTATGAGGCATGTAAGGTATAAATTAAAAGCAATATAGCACATTTGGGATGCCACTATTCCCAGCAAAGATAATTGGATGTTAGCAGTTGTTTGAGCCTGCAATTTGAAAACAAAGCAAGGAATCCTTGTAGTCATCATTACAGCTCTTTTTAAAAGCTCTCATTGCAGAGATATTCCCTCTGAAAAAGAAAATCCCCATCTCTTCTGCTTGGCTGGCACCTGCAGAGGGTGCACTGCAGTGCATCTGCAGCTTCTGGCAGAGCCCAGGAGTTTGTGTCTGCTTGCAGGGAAATGGCCAAGTTCTGGGAGACTGATACAGTGATGGAAATGAACTTTTCACTGAGAGCCAGCAGGATTTTATGCTGTGTTTTTTCAGGCCTGCTTTTTGCAGGTTGGTTTCCCCTGGAGCTTTGGGAATCGGACTGAGGCAGAGGCAACATGTTGTATGCAATTTTTGAAATGTAGAAATAATGATTCTCAAAAAACCCTGTTGCCTTCTAGACCAGTATGTCCAGAGCTTTGGTGTAGTACAGGCTAAAAACTGAAGAGTTGCAAGAATTTTCTGAAGACTTGCTCCATGAACAAAAAGAAAAAGTGATGTGTTGTGAGTCAGATTTCAGGCCTGTTCACTAATAAGGGATTTCATGAAATAACTCTGCTGCTCTTGGATCAGGGAAGTGCCTGGCATGGCTGAGGGGTGGCTGCATTTCTGCAGGGCCAGTGAGGAAGGGCACAGGATGCAGGTGCAGTGCCAGCTGCTCCATCCTCCCGGGGAGAGCGTGACCCTGGCAGGGAGACACTTGCAGAGTCTTGTTTTTCATGCCTTGCAAGTAAAAAGAATTACCTGTGGTACATTTTGTTATTTCTCTTCTTTCTATTTTTCTTTGAGGCTAAGTGACTTATTGTTTTTAATATAACAGAGTCATTTTTTTCGCAGCTGAATTTTCTGGAATAAAGAAATTTTATATTCCTTCCCTTTA